CACCCTCCTCATTCCTGCTCTTGGAATTCACAAAATGCTGATGCCTCCTGCCTTGTGTGGTCTTCTCGTGACTACCTCTGAGCCGGGCCAGCTTGGCAGGTTTCCAGCCTGGCTCCAGTCCACTCGGATGCTCTTGTTACCATCTGCTTATCTGCCGTCCACAACTGCAGCAGTTTTGGGGCAGGGTGACAGTGTTGCCTCTCCTCATGCTGCCCGGGGTTTATATACACCTACAGATCAGAGTAGATGCAATAAAATGCAAGTGGGGAGATTGAAACTTACTGTGAGAGAAGAGTTATGGGAAAGGAGGTGGGACGAGAGAATCTCCACGGAGCTATCAGCAGGAGTAAGTAAGAATGAATAGCAGTGAAATAAAAGACTTTGGGGGAGGGAATATGTAAGAACGAGATTGTGAGTATTAAGAGACTGTTCTTGACCGTGAAATCCTACCTACTCAGAACCTTGACATTTGACTAGTTAATGAACATACCCTTAATGAGCTTAGTATAATAACCTGTTCTATTTAATGAATAAATGTCCTAGAAGGATTAATGAGAATAAAATTGAGAATGGAAGTTCTCTAATTCCTTAAATATGATTTGTAAGTTTCATGGGGGTAAGGCTGATACCTAGAGCAACAAAGGGAACCTAAAACATTAATGTGAATTTTTATTATAATTTTACCATATTCCCAAGAGATGATATAATTGGTATCTATGAGCACAAAAATCTTGAGAAATAATGAGGTCACATGATGAAGATGGTTTTCCCCAAGAGTAGATTGTTTCTTTCTGAAATAAGTCCATATAGGGCAGCTCTCTCTAGCACTGAATTAGGATTGTTCCTCCAAGAAGAAAAGGGGGGAAAAGGTTGTTCAGAGGCAAATCACCATAATAATCCATTATTCATATACATTTCTGTTTTTAAAAGCACAGTATTGGTGGAAAAGATATTAGATGCTTGGGCAATCCCCAAGATTTATTTTCACAACTTCAGCATCTGTATTGTTGTATCCTTGATCGCACTTTTAAATTTACTTTAAGGTAAATGATGGTTTAAAAAGGACTTTCTGTTGTCTCATTTGAACTTGTGGACAGGTGTTGGTAAAGTGGGAGGATGAGGGTGTGGGGAGTGGTGGCATCTCTTCCAGTGTTATAGGGAAGATTACATTTTTAATTACAAACAACTATTAGGAATTCAAAAATCCTTAAAAATTACTGGGTTTTTTTTGCAAAGGATTGAGGAGGATTCTACAGATTGCAGCTTTAGTAAAAGAGCCCTATCCTTATAATTGAAGACCCAGGAATAGCAAGAGAATTTGCCAAATAATCTGCAGGTGATTTTAACACAATGCGCCTATATCTGCAGCCCTTACCATTCACCTACATGGAGAGTTCCTACAATATGCTCCTGAATCTGATTGACGGGGTAGATGATGGAAGTGGGTCCTCGTTCCCCACAAGAGCAATGTCATAATCAGGACAGGGACCTATCACCAAGGACTCAGAAGTAAATATATCATAGATGTGAACAAACGTGCAATGAAGACAAAATTATAACTATATGCCTATGTAATAATTTAAATAGCTAAATATACTCTATGTCCTAAAAATGGGTATTCATACACAATGTACTTTTCTTATCAAAGTATTGTAATAAAAATTTACTTTACATCGAAAATGAAATTCTACTAAAGCATATGATCTAAAATAAATTTTTAGCCTTTATAATTTTTACTGAATTATTTCACAGATCATTGAAAATTACCGCCAAGGGCCTCTCCTCCAACTAAGTTGAGAGAACTGAGAGCCCAGAGAAGTTAAATGAATTGCCAAAGGTGGCAGAGTCAGGACTAGACTACAGGGTCACTAAATCCTAGTACAAGACCTCTCCCCCTTATCTCACAGCCTAACGGCTTAGTAATGCATTTACTAGTCTTTATCACATATAGGAGAACCTTTGGGGAATTATTTGAATAGCTTAAATCATTCTTTAAAAACTATACAAAAAAGTCTGAAAATATGCCTTTTTTCTTGATCAGTTTCTTCATGGTAAACAGGTGAGATTAAAATCATGGCTGTGCTTCAAAAAATGGTCTGCAATCCTTCATTCTGTCCACTAGATGGTGAATTTTTGTGTGGCTGAACTGTCCAGTGAATAAGCAAAGTAGGGAAAACAGCTTCAGGTTTACATTAGAACAAATAGAGATCAATGGTAAATGTAGCAAAATGGATAAATCTTAAAAAAAAAAATAAGTCAAAAGAGTAAATTGCAGGAGGCTCTATATCGTATGGTGCTATTTTTATAAAAGGTTAAAATACCCATGTACATATATTTTGTTTAGGAATACACACCTATGTTGACAAACTGTAAAAACATGCTGGGATGATAAGCATCCAGTTCATGGTGGTGGTACATTTGGGGAAGAGTGACGGAGAGTGGGGTTGGGAGAGATGGCACAAGGGATTTCATCTGTACCTGAAATACTTTAAAGGTTTTAAAAATATTCTAAGTAAAGAGAGCAGACAAATATGGAAAATATTAAGATTTGACTTGGCTGGATAATGGGTACCTGGAAGTTCATTATATTATCCTATATGCTTTTCTGCATTCTGGAGACACTAGAATCAAGCTATAATAGGAGGAGACTGCATATTTGCAAAAATACATTACACATTTAGGAACATTGAAATAAATGTTTGATCTAAATTTTTATCAACACAAGTGTATTTATAGGTGAGGAACATTACAATATAGGTTTAGCCCCACTCAAGACTTATGTAACTCTAATACGAGCTGATGTCCTATGGGGTCTAGCCACTGTACAGAATCTCATTCAAGAAAACGTAAGTCTGATCCCAGAAGCCACTGGAGATAATGAAGCCTCTCAGGTGGATGTGGCTATGCCATTTGGCTCTTACACTCTGGAAATATCCTCGTTTTTGACAGGAGAGATCGAATTGTTGACATATGGGATGGTCTTGATCTTCCCTAAGGCTATGGGACATGACTGGGGCTTCAAGGCTTTGGTGTGGCTTGACCTTCTCTTGACTGGATGATAGTTGAGATTCACCCTCTCGCCCTGACCAGCCAATCAGATTCCTTAATCCTCTCCCTTTCTGCAGAGAACTCTGTGAATTATATGACGTGAAATGATTCCCACACCTGGGAACCATGATCCAATGTTACTTCTTTTCTCCTCCTCTATTTGAATATTTAATACAATGTATTCTCTAACTCAGGTCTGTAATCTTTTCCTGATAAGGGAAACTTGATATTTAAACTCTGCTTTCTCACTTGTAGTTAGTTCTGTCATCTACAGCAAGTTCTGGATTTTGTTACATATTTATACTTTGTGAATCAAGAATATATTCTCTCTAGTTTCACTGCCAAATTGAAATTTTTTTCATCTGATTCCATCATTCATTAGTTTTCCTAAACAGGTAAGTCCATTTTATAGCTAATTCATTAAATTACAGTGAATGCTAGTTCAAGTATTCAATTACATTCATGTTTAGGGGCACCTCAAACTCTGATCCTTTTATGTTACATTTCTAGAATTCCTTTCCTCTGATGGAATGATTCAGGGCTAAAGTAGAACTTTTTAAAAAAATGACTTTCATTCAAAAATTATCTACTCTACCTAGTAAATGAAAAGGGGCAGTAAAGAAAAGATAAACATGGGGAGGGAGGATTACAAAAGAAACCAAGAATACAGAAGGAAGTGATAGGTTTAAAGTAGAAAATTAAACTAAGAGAAGGCAGGATGAGAAAAAATGTATCCTACATGCACAAATTGTCTTTTTTTTTTTTTTTTTTTTTAAAGATGACCGGTAAGGGGATCTTAACCCTTGACTTGGTGTTGTCACCACCACACTCACCCAGTGAGCCAACCGGCCATCCCTATATGGGATCCGAACCCGCGGCCCTGGTGTTATCAGCACCGCACTCTCCCGAGTGAGCCACGGGCCGGCCCAAGTCTTTATTATTAACCTATTGTCTGTCAGACACTCTTCTGGGTTCTAGGAGTATAAATATGAATAATACCTACAGTAAGATTAACATTTCAACAAAAATAAGTAGAAGTAAACACATCCTGAGGATACTCGGATATCCAGTAAGCCATTAGAGAAGACTTAGTTACACATACCATATCTTATTCCTATGGAAGGGAGATGTGGTCATTAAGCTCAGGAAGAAGGGTTTTTTGTTATTGTTTTTGGCAGCTGGCTGGTATCAGGATCCAAACCCTTGACCTTGGTGTTATAACACCATATTCTAACCAACTGAGCTAACTGGCCAGCCCTAAAGAAAAGTGTATTTAAGAATACTTTTTAAAAAGCAAAAATAACTCTGATACCAGTTATAACTTCAATTTTCATCAGCATTATAAGGATTAGATAACATCCATCTAAGTCAAATACAAAATAGGTAAGAAAGCTGCCAAAGAGAAAGTAAATTTCATTTCCCTTCAAATTTGCTTTGTGTTTTCCTTGGTTATTCATCAAATCACAGTATATTTTACTGTAGTACCATTCCTTGTCAATTATGACCACAGATGATCTACTTTTAGTTTAAAATAAAAAATAAAAGGCAACGAATAAATTAAATATATGCAAAGTCTTGGATTCTGAAGACAAGAACAGAAAATGAGCAAAATCCACGGGACTTGTTAACAGAAGCACATAAATACATTTTTTACCTAATTCTTCAATCGGGCACTTATAATAGGGATGGATAAAAACAAAGACAATTATTCTCTTCTTTAACCAAGACAATCAAGAGATAAATGTTCTTTGGTTTATGCTGGTTACATAAGATAATTTAAGCTTCACTTAGGCATTTAATAATTTAAGAGATCAGCATTTTCTGTCCATTGAAATAATTGAGGAATCAAAGCATTTCCTATACACATCTAGTAGAAAAAGTTTCTTTCTATTAAAAATGCTTTAAAAAGATCCCTAATATGTTTACATATCCAAATAATTTGTTACTAATACTTCACAAGGAATATCATTTTATTATTGTAATCACAAAATCATAATTTCTGTACAGGAATGTATAAGCGAACATTAATGAATGCATTGATAATTAACTTCATAAAGAGGGTAAATGTACTACAGAACATATTGTAAAGAAAAAAAATATTGTAAAATTCTCTGGCCTTGCAGTGCACTTTTTAGTGCAAGTATTTAAGACACAATAGTGTTCAATTCAGCAAAGTATTGCAGAATGTCATGCCACAGTCCACTTAATTCAAAGAGAGTCAGGACATGCAGCTTGTAATAAAATGTCAGAGTATATATATATAAAAAACCACATGTAATTCATAAAATATATAGTGTTTTATTTAGATGGTTTTAAATGATTTAACTGTAGAATTCAGCATAACTGGAACAAACATCCAAGGTCTTCTCAACAGGAATAATCTTATTGCTAGGCAATGGCTTTGGCTTCAGGTAGGAATGCTTCCCAGTATTTTATCAGCTGTGGATGGTTATAAAAATAAAAGATATCTTCATTACCTTTTTGTCATTTGTATGCATATAGCCTGTATGGCATTAAAAAAAAAAAAAAAAACAACTGTACAAATAGCTAACCATGATTAACATTTACTGATGTCTTGTTCTTAAAGATACTTTAACTTCCTTATCTGAAATCTGCCAATATAAATCATATATACGTTATTTAAAACAATTACTCCTGGCTAATTTCAGTTTTTGATGTAAACAATACAATTTTCAAAAATCTAAAACTTACGATTTTTTTGGTTTATGCAAAATCGTATATCGAAACACACGTTACCATATAGCAAAGTTTACCTTAAATAATACAATTATGATGACCATAAAAGTGATAACATCTCCTAATTCAGAGGATATTCACATTTTATGTTACTGCTAGCCAAGAAGAATGGGATAGAAGGAGGAAGAAAAAAAGATATTGAGCAAGAATGGAAAAAAAAGGACTAGAGAGAAGTAACTGCCAGTCTTCTCTGGGTAGCCCAGAGAACAGATTGAATTATAAACTAAAATTATATTTAAAACAATTCCTTGGGCTGGCCAGTTAGTTTAGTTGGTTAACATCAACATCGAGGGTTCAGAGCCCCGTACCAGCCAGCTGCCAAAATAAATAAATAAAAATAAAATAATTTCTTTAAAAACAAGTTTGTATGTAGTCATTAATGTGGTAAAAATAAATTAATACGTAACTTATTTTCATATTTTAAAAATCTGAGTTTTATGAACTGTTTAAATAAAAACTAGATACAATTTAAAGACATCACTGAATTCAAAAATATAATCTATTAAATTTTACATAGAGAAGTTTTTAGAGCCACATATTTTAAGACTGGAAGAAATCCTTCTATTCAAGACATTAAATTACTTGATCTGTTGCTCAAATTAACATTAAAATATACAAAAAATACAAAAAATAAAAAATACATTAAAATATACAGAAATAAAACTCTATTACCTTATCCTGTTTCAAACTTTTATTTAATGTATCATTAAAACCCACAGTCTTCTGTAGTTAAGAAGATAAATGCCACTTGCAGCATTCAACCACCATCAACTCCAAACAAAACAAAACTCAAACAGTAGAAATAATAAGAAAAAAACTTAAAAAGCCTAATATTGGCCAACTCCAAACAAAACAAAACAAAACTCAAACAGTAGAAATAATAAGAAAAAAACTTAAAAAGCCTAATATTGGGAAAAGTATATCTCTTTTGCCTGGTGTTTAGGAGAAGCAAAAAGGGCCTGAACAGTTTCCAATTACTTTAACTATCATTTTTTCCTTTGTTGCCACTGGCTTTCTCTATTCCATTTCGTATTCTTCCTTGAGTTTAAAAAGCCTATTTCATTAATCACCTTCTTTAAAATGAAAAGGCATACCAAAAATAAACTCCAGAATTTTGTTAAGTTTTATTAAAAAAAAAAATTTGCTTACCTGTTGTTGTGTTTGTACTAATGATTCTAAGTACTTGATGATAACAGTTTTAAAATCCTTCACTCGTTCTTTCTATTAAATAAAGTGCAATATATGAAAAAAAGTCCATTAGTATAAAACTAAATTCAATTTTACCACAAAAATACAGCAAAACGTGACCTTGTTAAGAAAAGTGCAAAACTATTATACATGCCTCAAATCTTCCCACTTCTTTTCGAATTGTTTTAGAGATCTGTTCAAAATCTCTTTCTCCTTGTTGTACTTTTGCCTCCCACTAATAAAAACAAAACAAAAAAAGGAATAAATATTTTATTCTTGTCTGAAAAAGAAATTATATTACCAGCTGTCATGGCCACTCATTTAATTTAAACCTAATGCCTGAAAACCCTGAGAAAGCATAATATTGGTGAAGCTCAATTTAGTAACATCCAAATTTGTATCTAACTTTCTAGTGGTTGAAATGCATGTCAGCTTAATTTCCATTAATATTTCACTACCAGATTTACTCAAGATTATTAGAATATTCCAATATTTAATAAACTACAATGTCTACAGTTTAATTAAACATAACTAAGAAAAATTTTAGGTACAAAATTCATTACAAATAAATTAGCAGTGTCACAGTGAAATGTTCTCATTGTAAAAATATCATTAATTATTTCAGAATATATCAACAATATTGTTAATTTCAAGAACACATGTTCATCACAATTTATATGCTCATGGAAATACTTTAAATTAGAAAAATTATGTGGCAAACATTTAAAAACATTTTTGTATGTAATGGTAATATGACCAGATTTTTAAAAAAGTAGAATTATGGTCTACTGAAGATTCATCAGTAAACATTAAATTCAGTACAGAAACAACAAAATGTTGTGGTTTGTGATAAATGGAACAGCTAAAATAAAATAACTGAAAACTTAAGTAATAAAATGATATTTTTCTCACTATGTAACCAAAACACTGGTACATACTCTTCAAAGAGCAGGTACATTTATTTTTAGTAATATAAAGGTTGTCCTACCTCTTCAATTTCCTTATTGAAGCATGGCAAAAAAAGTGTATAAATTATAATAAACTTATACAAATTTTCTAAAGTACCATATATAATACATATATATGGGGGATAATATTGCCTGGACAGCTAAAAGTGGGATAAGTCTACCTCTAAAAGCATTTTTAGACACAAAATAAGTAATTATATGAAATCAAATTAACCATCTAAAAAGAAAGGTGTAATTATTAATGTACAGGTTACTTTTAGATCTTATCCTTGTATGTTTCTTTTTCCATTCGATAATCATGTGGAGGTAACGAAAGGGCTCTGGAGATTTCAATAATGATCAAAATGTTATAGTAATTCTAATACAGTTCATAGAAATATAAAAAAATAGCTAAGTGTTGAATGTTCAGAAAAAAATTTATGAAAAATTATGCACATATGAATGACTCATGAAAGATCTGAGTAAAGAGATAAAGCACTTAGAATCAGTAATCACCTCTCTTATTTCATTTTTAGCTTGCTGTATTTTATCTGGTTTGTTAGCAACCATCATTTTTGCCTCAGTTTCACGTTTTTTGAGCAAAGTAATTTGAGCATCTTCCCATTTCTGCCAGCATTTCATTCGATGGTCAAACACACCCTATAAGTGAATGACATAATGCAATTAAGTAACACTGTAAAATAATTTCATAACACTAAAAGTGCTGTAATATTGAAAGCAATAAAACCAAGTATTTAAATGCTATTCTAATACATTAAGATGTACAAAAGAAGCATGCTGATATCAAAAACAATAAATTTCCATATTTGTTTGCTTAAAACAAAACAAAAAAATCCCTGTTGCTGGATGAAAAATGAGAGCTCAGAACCAAAAAACTATACTCAAAATCAGTTTCACTAGCCTTTAGGGTTTTAAATGTGGAATATAATAAGATTTCTAACAGAATTTTATGCTTTAAAGAAGGATGTCTATTCAATAGGAAAATGTGTCATACCTACATTGGAAGTTTTCCTGTTAAATAATATCAAAAGCAGATTTACGTATTGGAAAACGTCAAAATTTGAAAAATGAAATGGAAAAAACTCATAAGATGAAAGGAAGTTAAGTAAAAATGGTGGAAGAGATTCCAATAGCAAATAAAAAAATGGCAAAGCAATTAAAAAATAATGGTCTAACAAAATAAAAAATAAAAAGACAGTCCTACATAAAATGAAAAGGGCGGAAGTTTATTTAGTATGTAGAACTAAAGAAAGAAACATACAATAAGACCCTAACAGAACAAGTCAAACAAATCCACACCTCTCAAGGGGTCTAGCAGAGCAAGAACAAGTGAAAGGAGAAAAGAAATAAAAATGTAAACTTCTGAGGGTAATTAGAAGTCTCATGAAAAAAACTGATGGATAGGATGAGAGAATCCACTAAGAATCCTTTTTGTAGTTTGATGCTGAGGATATATTAGTATTATTTTAGTATTTACTAATTGAACAAATGAAGCAAGCATTAATAAATTTTATGAACCAGAAAATATTAAACTAGTTATTTTAATTTATTCCAAATAAAAAATTTTGAATCAAGAAGCAGTAAATAAATACATGTTCCTATAGAAACCTGATGAAGAGAAAAACAGATAGTATATTAAAAAAAAAAAAATCAAATTTAGGTTCTAATATTAGCTTTGTCACTTGTTTGACCTTGGGTAAATTCATTTAATTTCTCCAAGCCATAGTTCTCTCAAATATAAATGGGTGGAAATGATGCCTACTTTTGTGGATCAGATATATGACAAGATATTAATCCACTCTAGTAGAACCAACCTTTCCAGTAAAGGGGTAGGTTTGTCTACACTGATCATCCACTTAGGACCTCCATCCCCCTTGCCAATTTATGATATACATTTGTATGCAAGCCAGTCTAGGTTAGACAAGGCTGCAGGTGTGAAACAGTTTTCCTGGCCCACCAGAAAACTTAACACTGCAATTTTAATTTAATTATCACCATATTCTAATTCAGTGACTCTAAAATTATGCTGCCTAGCTTCTTGGGGTTTCTAAAGGGATCTTAACCCTTGACTTGGTATTATCGGCACCACGCTCACCCAGTGAGCAAACCAGCCATCCCTATAAAGGATCCGAAACCGTGGCTTTGTTGTTATCAGCACTACACTCTCCTGAGTGAGCCATGGGCCGGCCCACCATTCATTCTTTCTACTGTACTGTCAAGTCATAGGGGAAGACAATATTAAGTTATCAATACTCATCTTGAAGCCATTTTATTTTATTTATTTATTTTATTGGTGGCTGGACAGTATAGGGATCCAAATCCTTGACCTTGGTGTTGTAACACTGCACTCTAACCAACTGACCTAACTGGCCACCCCTGAAACTATTTTATATGTACTAGTATAGTACAAATTTACAGATTTAAATACAGGCCTAATAGGAAACCAAATGTTTTATAAAGCAAACCAATGAAGTCAGAAGAATGCAAGAAAAATTAAGAAGAGCTTACTTTCACTGCAGCAATAAGACGAATGTAGTCACTAAGAAGTTCTGAAAACATGTAAAAGTCAGCAAAAGCTTGTTCTTGATGTAACTGGTCTATCTTCTCCTCAACCTCTGCAAGCTGAGACAAAGCTCTAGATAAAGCGGTATGATCCTCAGAATTACCTAACATGGCAGCACTTTTAGCAAAGGCAGCTGTGTTAGCTGAAAGCTCTGAAATAAAAAAGCATTAACTTTAAGTGTTCATAAGTAAAGTTTTAAAATATCGCATTGATTTTGAATTTTCTAAATTTTATCTATTCACTAATTGCTAAGATAATATTTTAAGTTAATTAACATGAAACAATTAGTCATTAAAATGCCTTGGTCATAAATGCCAAGTGCTCAGAGATCTACCGAAAATTAAGAATCATCGCTGCCTATATTCCCAGGCAATGAGCTATGCTTAAATAATTTAATATAATAATATGCTTCCTCTTTCTCCCTCAAAGTGCTCACACACTGTTCATTCCTAAAAAAAGGCAAGAAATATATTTTTAATATGAGAATCACTGGGAACACTCATAATTGATATATACTACATTCTTTGGCCTTTAAATATCTGTCATTAAAACTAATGTCTATAATTTCTAAGGAGATTACAGGAGAAAAGGTAAAATATACACACATTCACATAAACCTTATTCCTTTTTTCCTTGTTATGCAACAATGTTCATTAAAATATTCAAATCTCTAAAACAATTTTTGAACATGACCATCTCAGATATTTCAAATAAAGAAAAATAGATGTTTATAGGTTGCATTCTGTACACTGCCTGGAAATTGCTCTGTTGCTTTAATTATGTAAAATTCTTTAAAAGAAATATAAAGCCCATTCCCTAAGAGATGCATAATATAAATGGCAAAAGCTGTTACAAACTACTTTCAATAATAAATGTATTAGTAGGTTTCTGTAATTATCTTAACAAAGTGTATTGCTGGTAATGTTATACATTAAATTACTTATTAAATATTTTGGAAAAGTGACATTAAAAGCCCTGGATTCTTTAAAAATAAAACAAACCAAAAAAACACCAAAATACCTCACTATGGATTAAAAAAATGGAAACTAAACCTTTCTATGAATTTCTACCAAATCTTCCTCCAACCTCAACCAAGGTTTTTAAATATTGTGGTTTGAAAATAAAGAAAATACTTCAAAGGGTTTTCCAGGAAACAGAGGAACAAAACAAATACTTCCAAGAGAATTTTCAAATATCAATTTTTGAATCTTAAGTTTTTTATTATAATCCAAGTTACTAATTAATAGGATTTTACTAATTAATAAGATTTCTTCATCCATTAAATTGTAAAAAACATTTAGCAAAGAGTTAATCAAGTTAGCAACTTTAATTCAAAATTTAAATAGTTTTATAAGCTCAGCATTTTTCTATTTCTAAACTAGAAGTTAAATTAAAATAGAGCAAAAACTTTTAAATAATGAAGTTGAAATAGGAAATATTCTCAAATTATTATTTTCTCTCTTCTGTAATAACTTCAGAATATTTAAATAAAATTAATAAAATATTTTAATTAGTTTTATGGTACTAAACATATAAACAACAAGGCGAACAAACCTTTTCTATGACAGACCAAGGCTTCAACATTGGCATGAAGTTTCCTAAGTTGCTGATCCAGATTCTCAAATTGCTGCTGCTTTTCTTCAAACCACTAAAAAAAAAAAAAAAAAAAAAATGGAGCTAATTTAGAAAGAACAAACCATTGTAAATTAGGTTACCAATAGCAAGCTACATTCCTTGTTTTAAAGCAACAAATTAACCATGTATAAGCATGGTGAACAACTAATGTGGCTAAGAACTAAACTCAATAAGCAAATTAATATCCTATTTTCTACTTGTACAGCTTTAAAATGCAATTGTTGGGCTCATTAATTCATCTCATTATTCAAGTCGAAAAATCAGCTCTTACTGCATCCGATTCATTCATCTTGATTGTCATTTTGTTGACAGCGTCGGCAGCCTTGTTCACCATCCTCAATATTCCTGCTCCACTCAGAGCCTGTGTATTAACTGCTCTAGGCAGCTGGAATTGAATGACAAATAAGGGCAAACAAACCGGTTAAAAGCCTAGAGGTTTAACTGAACACAAAAGGAACCCCCCAAAAGAAAAAAAAAAAAAGAAGTGGTATTTTCTTCACTCTCATACATTTCAATAGTGAGATCTAATTTCTCAAATACACTACTTGTACATTCTCAAAGGAAAACTTAAAAAATAGACTTTCCATTTGGTTTTCTCTTGCACGTTTACATTTAGATGAAACAAACACCCTGTTTGTCAAAATACATTAAGAAATTGCCGAGACCCGAACACTGGCCACCTGTATGCTTGTAGAAATAAACTGTTTATAAGGAAAGAAGAAGAAAATCTTGAGAAAAATCTCCTTTTGCTCAGTTAGGATTGTGTGGTTTTGTGTTTTTAAAAAATTCTGGGTCTCAAGTAAATTTTTACAAAATCTCGAACAATAACAATTAGAACTCTAAACTTACGAGCCTAAAATGTACCAAACATCTCAAATATAAAGAACAGCATGATTATAATTCAGGCTTTTTCAAATCACAAATTCACATTTTGAAACCTTAACAAGGATATTAGAATGTAGACACACAAGCACATATTCAGCTTTCTCAAAAATGAGGTCTGAATAAACTTATTTCTACATGACACCTAAGCAATAACTTAGGGCATTCAGAGTTAGACTATCTATAAACCATTCTCTTAAATCTGATTTTAAATTTTCAAAAAAGAAACTGATCATCCTATAAATATTGATGCACAAAAGATATTTTGATAGTAATTTAGTTAAGTAATTAAAGCACTAAGCAAAAAAAAAAAAAAAAAAAAAAAAAAAAAAAAAAAAGAGCTCTATTCCATCTATTAATCCAATTATTTACTGGATATCTATTCTTATGTAAATGAGAAATTTTAATAAGGAATTTTATATATAAAAATTTTAAGTAGAAATAATACCTCTGAACTTTCCAAGAACTGCCTTAAGTCAGGATCCTGTAGTAAAGTTGGATGTTTTACTGTTCTTTGAAGATACCTAGATTTAAGAGTAAAATTGCTCCTTTATCAGTGGCATTTTGCTTTAAATCATGTTTGAACAAAAGAATAAAAATAAAAAAACTAAGTAAAAAGGTGTCTTCAGTCTGCTTCCTATTAGTCTGCCCTCACTGTAATTATTTAGAATCTTACAGTAATTTAATAACTAAAAAGCTTTTTGTTCATCTTTTAAAAATTAATATGCTACCCTCTTTTCATAATTATATAAAAATAGAAATGGCAGGGGGTTGGGAGTAGGAGTGGGAAGAGGTTAAATAACTTACCAAACCTCTCACTGCAAAGTATTAGAGTTGTAAAAGGGTACATGAGCTTGCTGAATAATTTTATCTTCAGATGGAGACAATATATTCTCAGTTATAATTTTAGAGTCCTAAGATACTTATTACTCCTTATTACTCTATATATTCCACCCAACAATTTTTTTAGTTGCTATTCTCACCAAATGGGAAACAGCCTACCAATTTCTTCCTTTTATTTATTTATTTTTTTTACTTAGCAGCAGATGTAAATAATCACAATCAGCTCTGGTCATTATTTGACAAGAACTAAATTTCCTTCAATATTTCTATTTTTAAGGTTTTGCTATTTTTGATAAATATCTTACCTAAATATAATACCACATGAAATAAAAATAAAAAAGTAAAGAGAAACACCATTATAAAATCACTATTAACCCAATTAGTCATGTTCCTTTACTAGAAAAGCTCACATTTGCCTGTCACTCATAATAAATTACCAATCAAATTTCATAAAAGAAAGTCAATATTTGATTATTTTTGATTATTCATCTAATCTCATTTTTAAAAAAATTGCTGTTTACCCAGATTAATGACTTTATGCAGTAATATTTCAATTATAACATTTTACTTCACAGTTAATATACCTTTATTCTATTTCTCTAAAATAAATGTAGTAATTTCTTCTACCTTTTTACAAGATTATAAAAATATGCCTTAAAATTAATAAAGTTCCTGAAGAAAAGTGGTAACCTTCTGTAAAGTCAAATTCTACACATGGTCAAAACGACATTTATTAATGTTTAAATGTTAACTTCCATTTTATATATTTAAATGAAATACATACCATATTAAACTTCATTTTAAGACAGCAGTCCACATAAAAATTCATTATAACAGAAACAGAGCATTTAACATATATGTATAATATAATCTATGCTGTGGTTTTAAAAAATATTTGCTGCCTATATTATCAAGGCAAAAAAGATGTAACAAAAACATTGATCCTGTAAGTTTAAGCAATTTTGGAATTTTCTCACTAGAATTTGACCTCCAATTTTAACTGAAATTTTCCCCACACTATCAGGTAAGTTATTTAGTTGTTTAGACTACATATTACCTGAAGGCGGTTTGCATAAGTTGTTCATCTTGGTATATACAATAGCCGGTAAATAGCAGGCACTCAGATATTGGAAAAAGAACAAGCAGGAAGACAAAACATCTAGTACCCAACAATTAAGAAATAGTTCAATGTTTCAAACCTAAATGGAAATACCTAATACCACTTATATTATAAAACAGTTTTCCAAAGTGAGTTCTGTAGAGTACTAGTCTCATGCAGTATTCCATAAAGAAGATTGATTCTATAATCAAGAAAGTTTGAAATATATTACACACATATTCCTCTCTCTAAGATTCATATTGGGTGAGGGGGAAAAAAAAGATTCATATTGAGCAGCATTATATTAAGTGCTGTAAGAAGTCCTATAAAAAATAAACTTCGTTTAACTTTGTTAAACCCTATGCTAACAAAACTCAACTGACTACAGATCCCTTTTTTCACTCCACCACATATTGGCATTCTGAGGAATAAATTTTGAAAAATGATAATCTAAAAAAAGAGTAAAATTTTCCTTTTTCTTAAGGGTTAAGTGAAAGTAAAGAACTAACTAAAAGAATATATATGTATATATATAAAGCTTATATCCTGTTAAATTAATAACAGAAACCTAAAATAGATTTTAAAACAATGAATATACACCAATTCAGAATTAAGATCAGAGAAAGTTATAGACATATAAAGGAAGGAGAGAGAACAAAAATGGAAAAAGTGTAGGAAGAAGGAAGAAGACATAAAAATAGGTATAGGGAGAAATAGAAACAATGAAGGAAGACTGAAATGGAAGACACAATGGAAGTGATGAAAATATCAAGGAGCGAGTCGGCAGGGAAAAAAAAAAGAAAAAGAAAGTATCAGACCCAACAAGAGGTGGTCAATGGTTGTTCTTGAGATTTTCTCCAAGTAAAGCTTACTAATAAATTTATTAATTAATTAATTTATTTAAAAGATGACCGGTAAGGGGATCTTAACCCTTGACTTAGTGTTGTAAGCACCACAGTCACCCAATGAGCTAACCAGCCATCCCTATATGGGATCCGAATCCATGGCCTTGGTGTTATCAGCACCACACTCTCCCAAGTGGGCCACCTGCCGGCCCTTACTGATAAACTTAGAAGAATCACTTAGGGCTATCAAGTTCCTATTTACTTACCCAAAACAAAACAAAATAAAGCAGGTCATATAAAATGCTTGACAGTAAAGTTAATATTTCTCTTGCTTGGAACTCAATCATAAGTGCTAGCAATGAGAAAACAGAAATGCAGAAAGAGCCTGGGTCTTGGATGACATTCATCCGTTCATTCAACAAATATTTACTGGGCACTTACTACATGTCAGGTACTCTTCTGAGTACTTGCAATACATCAGTGAACAAGAAACCAAGATCTCTTCCCTGGTGGAGCTTATATTTCAGTACAAGTCAGACAGTAAACTATAAACATAATAAACATATAAATTATGTAGTATGTAACAATGTGGCAAGTGCTGTAATAAAAAAGAAAAGACAGAATAGGGTAAGTGGGACCAAGTGTATAAGATGTGGTTGGTGGCAATTCAAATAGAATTGGTCAGAATGAACCCAGTGATGAGAACAGGCTTCACTGGAAAGGTATTTGAACTTGAAAGAGGAATGGCAGTTAGCCATGCAGATACCTAGAAACAAAGCATTCTAGGCAGAGGGAGCACCTGGTGAAAAGACTCTAAGGTAGGACAATGCCTGAGATGTTTGAGAAGCAGCAAAAAGTCGGTGTAGCCCAAGGCAAAGTGAGAGATCAAGGAGGATATGAGATGAAACAGGTAACAGAGTGAGCGATTCTGGTCATGTAAAGTCTTGTAGTCCATTAAAAGGACTATGGCTTTTACTGAGTGAAATGGGGTTAATATGATCTAATTTATGTTTTAAAAAGATTACTCTAGGTGCTGTATTAAAAAAAGAGTAAAAGTGCCAAGGATAGAAGCAGAGAGACCAATTAGGAGACTACTGAAGTTAAGTAAGGCCTTTGGACTAGTAGTCACTAGACTGGTGAGATATGGTTGTATTCCAGATATCAGAAGGAAGCAATAGGATTTCCTGATAAATTAGGTAATCCTGAATCGTTGACTACCTCCAAACTCCTTGATATGAAATAATGAATTAGATAACCTGCATTAACTGTTCAGGCTTTGCCAGTTGGGTTTTTAGATGCTTGAAATGAACACAATCCTAACTGATATACTTTTATTTTAGAGATAAGAATGCATTTAAGTAATGTGCCCAAGGTCACACAGATAGTGTGGAGTGCAATACAGGTTTACAGGTTTCAACTGAAAAGGGATTTTAAATCTTATATTCTATTATCATGCTCCTCAAAATTTCTTAGTTTATATTTGCAGAAGTGCATCCTTACCTATAAAATAAACTCAGTAAGATTTTAAGATGTGAAGCACTCTCAAGAAAACCAAGTGAGCCATCTTAGAAATACTCGTAATGGAAGTAGTCTCTGCTCACTTTACTGAGAATGGCACAGGGGAGTACTTGGGTACTTATCCATTCCCTTTCTCCTCCAAGTTTTTATTTTTTTGGCAGCTGGCTACTATAGGGACCTGAACCCTTGACCTTGGTGTTATCAGCACCATGCTGTCACCAACTGAAATAATCAGCCAGCCCCTAGCTTTTAATACCAGATGTTTATCCTTTCATTCAAGATAGTCACCCGGATTCTCTAAATTGAACATATAAATACGTAAATGAATATCACAGTATTAAATAAAGTAATACAAAGAGAAATACTTCCCTGACCCACCAGAACCAGGGCTGGATATCCCACAGATATGCCTCTTATAATGTTCAAATTTTAAAAGATGTCACAGGAAAATCATTTTAGAAAGGTTGGCTATATGAAAACGTAAGAAAAATGCAGTTTTAAAATCTTGTACAGATTAAAAAACAAATGTGAGGGCCGGTCCGTGGCTCACTTGGGAGAGTGTGGTGCTGATAACACCAAGGCTGCGGGTTCGAATCCCTGTATAGGGATGGCCGGTTAGCTCACTTGGGAGAGCGTGGTGCTGACAGCACCAAGTCAAGGGTTAAGATCCCCACAGGAACTGATTAAAATTGGCTGGGATAGAAGAATTAGGATTAGAGTAAAACTAAAGAAATCACTCCAGTTCCTTTGCTTCTATACTTTTATGCCTGTATTTTCTTTAGACATTTCTTCTAATGGAAAATGAACTTTTCCCTCATATTATACTGTTTATTTTTTTCACCACTGCAAATTCCACTAAGGTAGCATTTAACAAGCAACATTTATCAATAAAGAAATTATCTTTACACAAATGCTGGGTCAAGTTTCAATATTCCCTTACAACTCTACTCAACATTTTATACTACATGAAGGTATGGTAAGTACTATGTAATGCAGTCAAGTTATAAGAAAGGTGAATGTAGAATCAAATTATATGTCCTTGGTACGATAAATCTTCATTAGGTTCCTTATCAAGCATGCCGTCCAAAATATTTCAAATTAACTCATAGAAAAATAGGACTTGAAAGGTCTCTCAAAGGGTCGTGGTTACATTTTCAGAAAGGACTAAGTGAAATCAAGGCAGAGCATTATCTACCTTTACTCTCAAATGTATTCAGTCTATGACCTCTCCCACAACAGAATCAATCCTAATGCCTAACCTAAACTTCTTTTGATGCAATTTAAATCCTTTTCCTGGGTAATTGCCAATTCTCACAGACATAATCCCATCTAAATCTTCTCTAATGTAAGATTTTACATTGTATATTTCTTAGCTTTTCTTACTGCCTATTCAATCCTGACTTTACTGTGGCACTTTCTTGAAATTTAAATAATTCACTACTAAAAACCAGAAATAAATTGCCTTAATATAGTTTTAAGAAATAATTTGTACTCTGGAGATATATATATATACCTCCCCCCAAAACCTATCCTCCCACCCCAACCATTGATTTTAAACCAAATGAGAAAAAAAAGAGTAAGAAAATTTTTAAAACTATGAAATTAGATAATGTTTCAAGCCTGGGTAATTACGAACTTATACTCTAAAAGTAGGGCTTTAAGAGAGTTTCAAATTTGTTTTCTCACATTGTCAGCATATCAAGGAAGAAATAAATGTTAAGATTCTGGGAGTGGGATTCCTCCCATCCATTCCTCTTTTAATCTGCCACAATAAAGACAAGTCTTCAAAGCTACAGGAAATGTGCAGAGTCAAGTATTCTAAAGGAAGATAGAGCATATATATTAATCTTTAAGTATACAGTCAATTCAAGCAACGACTAATACTTTTGTACATTAAAGTCAAAATCAAGTGTACAAAAATGAGGGGCAAAAACTGCATTTTTCACTGTATTTAATGATGTTCTTACCAAGTAATAACTAAAAAGAAAAATTTATTCAGATGAACTATAATTAGCTAAATGATCTAACATAGTACACGAATATGGTATAACTTCCTAAGAACCTAAATAACACCAAAGTGAGATTATTTTTATCCAAATATTTTTTTATCAACTCTCCCCCGTTCACAACTTCCATGTATTCCTTTCACAAGCCTAGCAGTTTCTTAGTGCTCTTGTTGACTACATCTGTGATATATACCTTTATATGCCTGCTTGTAGCATATGATACAAAAACAGGTGTTATTTTATTATACAGACTATCGATGAAGATGAATAAAAACAGAACAAGTATATAGTATTGTGTTGCTGAAATAAGTAATTTTTTTTTTGGCGGATGGCCTGTATGAGACTCTGAAGATTTCCTTAATAAAATTTAAAGTACTTTTTAGAACCACCAAGTGTACTTTGAAAAAAATCATTAAAACACAGTCATGCCATGTAGTGGATTGAATTATGCTCCCCCCAAACTCACTGAAACTTGAGTTGTGTCCCCCAAGTTTTATGTATTAGGAATTTAGCCCCCAGTGTGACTGTAAAGAGGGTGGGAATCCTATTATTGCAATTGTAAGGTGGGCCTTGAAGAGCTGATTGCAGGATCATACAGTAGTGAATGGATTAAAAATGGTGGTCAGGGGCGTGGTTCTGAGGGCTTTAAAAGAAGAAAACAGTCTATCTTTCTCCTCTCTCTCTGCTTCCACCATCTTGCAATGTGAGACCCCTGGTTCACTGTTGCCATCACCAGATGGACTTTGGACTTCCGAGCCTCAGAAACTGTAAGCAATAAATTTCATTTTCTCTATACATCACCCAGTTTCAGGTATTTTGTTATAAGCAACATCAATGGACTAATACATGCCATATAATGGAATTAGATTTATATTAATGAAGTAAAAACATTAGAGTAATAAAGTATAGCTATCTAGAATTACCTTTCAAGAGCTGCTCTCCGCTTTTCTACAAACTCAGTGGATGATGAATCTTCTTTACCCACTTTGACCTTGGTCATGCCTTTGAAAAAGGTGAATGAGATTCATGATGATTTTATATTATTTTGACACAGTCTTTTATAATCACTTCTTCATAATTTAAAATATACTTTGAATTTGAGCTTGACAAAAAAGCTCCTAAATTTGTTACTGGTATCTTACTTAAAAAGCAAAACCTTTTGAGAAACTAAATCTCATGATATGTTAACATCTTTACTTTGGAAATGCTTACAACATGAGAGAATAGATAAAGAAGCTGAGCTGTGTTTGTAGTGTTCTGACCCATACTGTTTATGTAAAAGCTTATATCAAAAAGATTCCTTATCTGTTGTATTTTATACTCCTCGTAAATTAAAAGGTGTCTGCATTTCAATATGCATAGTGGAATTTCAAACAGCAAATTTAAACTCAATTAACATTTTCATTCTTATAAGCAATAATTAAGGTTTTTTACTTTGGGGGTGACGAAAATAAAAATAAATATAACCTATAAATTTGCTAAACGTTTTCCCTGCTGCAAATTCTAAGACCATGTTTGTGTTTATTTATCATAGCTTGCTTTTTTTTTTTTTTATAAAGATGACCGGTAAGGGGATCTCAACCCTTGGCTTGGTGTTGTCAGCACCACGCTCAGCCAGTGAGCGAACCGGCCATCCCTATATAGGATCCGAACCCGTGGCCTTGGTGTTATCAGCACCGCACTCTACCGAGTGAGCCGCGGGCCGGCCCAAGCTTGCTTTTTAATAGTTGAAAAAATAAGCTCTTTACAGAGATGTTTAGAAACTTCAAGTTTAAAAAATAAAAACCACGTTAATCATTTTCCATACTGGCAATTTCTATTTTAACACCAATATATTAGACTGCAGATTCCTCTTTTCTCCTGTTCTTTTCCTTTCAACAATGTATTCTGTAGAAATAAAGTACTGAGACATGCTACAATATGGAAGAACTTTGAAAGTATAATGCTAAGTAGAAGCAGCTTGTCACAAAAGACACCCACCCTAACTGAACTACTGAATGTGGAATGTTAATGATTTCACATTTCCTGTTTCACTGAAAAAATCTCACCACTATGTAGTTCTTTGCTTTTTCTTCTACTCTCATGCTACTTCCTAGAGGTAACCATTATGGAACACTGTGTCAAAAACCAACAACAACAAAAACCAGTAAACACACACACTGGGCCGGCCCGTGGCTCACTTGGTAGAGTGCGGTGCTGATAACACCAAGGCTCCGGGTTCGGATCCCATATAGGGATGGCCAGTTCACTCACTGGGTGAGCGTGGTGCTGACAACAGTTAAGGGTTAAGATCCCCTTACCGGTCATCTTAAAAAAAAAAAAAAACAAACAAACAAAAAAAAAAAACACACACCCACCCCCCCAAAAACCCCAAAACAGCTTACCCTAACCAGGGAAACCTTAAAACTTTTTTTTTTTTTTTTTT